TAAGGAACACGGTAGCACAACAACTTTGAACCCGAACAGCCAGCTGAACTCTGACTCCAGAGCTGCTCTGCGGTGAAGTTATGGGGTTTGTTGTGTTCCCTCATGGTTCGGAAGCAAAAAGCCCGAACCGGAACCTCCCCGTTACTTGGTCTGTTTGACACTAACCACATTGAAGATAAACAAAAATAAGGTAAAAACATTGTCCGTTAGAACAGATTAAAATGTTTAGATACTTTACCCTTGTATGTGGAAATGGGGTCCAACTGACCCCACACACGTAAAGCTTGTATCATTTGCCTCAGTCCTCACACACAAGGGTTAAATATCACATTTTTACGAGAACAATGTCCGAGGATATTGCCTACTAGCATAAGCTAAGGTTAATGTTGGCCACAAAGTTTAAAGAAAGTAAAACTCACCGTCATATCAGTGAAGGTATAACGAGGAGAACATCTTACAACCTTTCTTCCGCTTGTTGGGGCTTTGGATCGATGTTCATCACCAACGGTTACCTTGGCCACGCCCTGCAGCTCCGAGTGTAAAATGACATTTTCAACAGACTGGAAACGACGGAGCCGCTTTTCCCTGAGCCCATTCAGAAATCCTGACTGATCTAAATGACTGTGATGCTGTTGTAACCATAGCAACCATCAGTTCCCGACATGGACACCTGGGGGCGTGGCCTCCAGCTCTGTCCTGGTGGCCAATGGGAGCGCAGCGCTGCGCCGTGACGTCCAATCCCGTTCCACGATGTCGGACAGTAAGCTCCGCCCCCGGCTGCCGGCGTGGCGAGCGTCCTGCATATTCCTACGCCTTCCCAGAGTCCTTTGGGCCGTTACTGGGGAGACAAACCATGCAGGACACAGAACGCTCCGGATCCATCTGGAGGGAAAACTAAGTTTATTTCTGTAATTCATCAGAACCGTAAAAATAGTTCAGGATTAAAGAGAACAAGAAATAAAGATGAAAATGATTGAACTGCATTTTTCCAGACAGCTTCTGAAAAACTGAGATTAAGTCAAAAATGCCAGTGGATAATAAATGAAATAATTGGTGTTTGCCGTCTGATAATACCTTTTGTTACCTTTAGATAAAAATGTTTTAGTCCACCAGAGGGCGCTCAACGTCCCTCCCGTCCAGCACTTTATACTGAATTATAACTAGGAAAATCACTCATCTGATATTTTAATTAATGTAAATAAATGTTTTAGTCGGGTTCTGCTCTGACCTCTGTGCAGGTGGAGACGTTCTCTGGAGTCTACAAGAAGCTGACGGGGAAAGACGTCGTGTTTGAATTCCCAGAATTCCAGCTGTAAAGGCGCCGGACTCAATAAAGTTGTTTTCTGTCACTTTGGACTCCGTGTGCTTCGTTGTTGGTCCAGGTCCGGTTCAGTCCAGAACCAGTTCCATGGCTCTGGTGGGACCGGTTCTGGACCGGTCCGAGGACCCAGGAGACTCCAGAACCACTGAAACACACAAACCTGTAGCAGAAACGGGTCAGTATCCACGGAGAGCCAAAGGGGCCAAAATACAATAAATAAGTGAAGTTATAATTTAAATGTAAATTTATTAAAGCTGGAAATAAAAACAGAAATAAAGAGTAACCTGCCTTAGTTATTAAATGTTTCATTTTAAAAACTAAACATTCTGCGCTGAATTGCATCATAAATTAATCCGTCGAAGTTGCTGTCAGGCTCCGGAGGCGGGCCTAACGCAGGCTCTGGCTTCTGATTGGCTTCTTCCAAGAGACCCTGGCTTCTGAGTGGCTGCAGCAATCAGAAGTCGTTTGCTGCGACTCTGGTTCAAATCTGCTGGAAAGTTTAAAATAGGCTAAATAAATTGTAATTCACTGGCTAAACTCTGGGTGAGCAACTTGGGCCTCTAGATCTGCAGTTCGGAGAGTTTGGACCGAATCTAAACCAGATCTAATCTGAAGAAATGAACGGTCCGACTGGGTCTGAATTGTGAAGCGGTTCTGAACAGTTCTGTGTATCAGGACCGGTTCCGACGAGCAGAACACGGTTCAAAACTGGAAGGTCTGATGTGTGGACCAGTCCAGAACCAGAACCTTTTCCCTGTTGAACACCAGAGGAAACCGAGTCAGGAATCATTCAGCGCTGGTTCATCTGCAGTCTGTGCACTGGGCTCGCTGAAGACCAGGAGAATCTGTCCTGGATCAGAACCGGGTCCAGATGGAGGAGGAACCTGCAGCGGGTCGGAACAAGAATCAGATCTGCTCTGAATGGACCAGCACAGTCTGAATGGAGGAAACCCTCAGCCTCCAGGACCAGAATCGGTTCTACTGAAGTGGGTCCGGTACGGCGGTTTTGAACATTCCCAGGGCTTCTTCTCCTTACTCATGTTTATTCACAGCCTGGCAGTGGCAGCATCATGCTGTGGGAGGGTTTGTTTTATTTATCTAAGATAAAACAGAAATAAAATATAGATTTTTATGTTATTACTGATTTATCGTTTTATCATTTACCTATCAGTATGTATTGACCCATTATAAGTATAATGTAGCTCCTCCTCCCCAGCAGCTAGTGGCGCTGTCGGACCATAACCAGTTCCTGGTAAACAGTGGAGCAGCCGCTGTTCGCTTTAGCTGTGCCAACTTCAGGAGGACTCGGTGGCGCTTTGACCCTCTCTAGTGACCTGTCACCTTTCCAGGCAGATGTTTGACCTTTAACAGCCTGGAGGAAGGCCGCAGCTTTTACTCTGAGCCCAGTTTGATCTTAACCCGGACATTAACTCACCGCTACGCAGGTTAGCTAATTCCAACTGGGTTGTCCCAGAGCGGCTGCAGGAAGTGACGCACACCGGCGCAATGAGGATGAAGGTCTGTCAGCAGCTGCTCGGTAGAGCCTTCAGTCACCGCGGAGCCTCATGTGCCTTCAGGACCGGCTCAGTGACGCTTGACACAGGTAGACCCACCAGAACCTCACTCACACACTCACACACACACACAGCTCACCTGCTCAGATCCACGGGGACACCTGAAACAGAAACACCTGGCAGGATCAGTAAAGAGAGAATCACAGCATCCGGGTAAACTGAACCAGTTCTGAACCCATTTCATCTTCATCCAGAACCTGAGCTTCTCCAGCATTCAGCTCATGACGTCACAGATGATGATGACAATACCATGTATAGTCCGGTTTACCAGGTGTTATAACTAATCACGATTGTGGTGTGAATGTTATGCATGGTTAAAAACTACAAATGGCCACCTGTGATGACATCATAAAAGAGCGCCAGGCTCAGGTAGTGCAGAGGACGCTGAATGCTATGTTGATGCCCATGCTGGGAGTTTGGTGATCCTGAATAAACTAATCACGATGATACAGTTTGACTCAGCGCACTCTAACAACACAACGATAAATGATCATATTAATGTTTGAGGCCATGTCCAGTGACATAATAAAATAATAATAATCATCAACTCATTCTGAAAGGTCAGAACCGTTTAAATCCTGACGAACATTTAAAACTGGAAGACATTTTGTTTATTTATCCATAAAACAAGAAATTAAATGAATTATGAAATCTCAGGAAAATAAACTATCCTCCAGGTTTTGGTAGATGTTTGGTTCTGCTCAGCCGGATTTGGACCAGAAGCGGGTCGGTTCTGTCTCTGAGTTGGATCTAGAACTCAGTAGAACCCATTTGGTTCTGCTCAGTGTTCCCGACCGGACTGACTCCACAAAGTCTGTGTTTGACAGGAAGGTGGCGCTGCGCTCCGTCCGCGCCGCTGTGCAGCTCCTCGGCCCAGGACAGGAAGTCCCACCCCTCCATGCTCAAACACCTGCGCGCCAAGATCCGCTCCACCGGGCCCATCTCCGTGTCCGAGTACATGAGGGAGGTTCTGACCAACCCGGTCGCCGTACGTCTCACCGCCAGCCTGGGGGCGGGGCTTAACGTGCCTCCTCATATGGGGCGGGGCTTAACGTGCCTCCTCATATTGGGGCGGGGCTTAACGTGCCTCCTTCCTGCAGGGTTACTATGTGAGGAAGATGATGCTGGGAGCTGAGGGAGACTTCATCACGTCTCCAGAGATCAGCCAGGTGTTTGGAGAGGTGAGTCTGTTTGGATCAGAACCCGGCCGGGTCACTGGTCTTCAGAACCAGAACCTGATGATGATTATGATGAGTGCACTGAGGAGCAGGTGATTGGTTCTGACCCGGTTCTGGTCTGCAGCTGCTGGGCGTCTGGATGGTCAGTGAGTGGATGGCGGCTGGTCGGCCCGGTCGGCTGCAGTTGGTAGAACTGGGCCCAGGGAAAGGTTCCCTGATGGCAGATGTCCTCAGAGTAAGACCCGATCTCTGGTTCTGGAGGTTCTGGTTGGTTCCGGTTGATCGATGCTGGTTCTGTTGTCTCTCCAGGTGTTTGGCCAGCTGCGCTCCGTAGTGGCCGGAGCCTCGGTGTCTGTCCACCTGGTGGAGGTGAGTCCGGTTCTGAGTCGGGTGCAAGCCGAGACTCTGACCGGAACCGGCGGCCAGGAGGCGAGTGGCGAGCCCGACCCGACCGACCCGGCGTACCGGCGCGGGGAGACAGCAGCCGGGGTTCCAGTGTCCTGGTACCGCCACCTGGAAGACGTCCCAGCAGGTGGGAACCGGGCCGGGTCAGAACCGGGTAGAACCGAGTTCCTGTCAGCGATTCCCTGAGGCGGCGCCAGAAGGTTAAACAATCAGCCTGGGCTGACCTTTGACCTCCAGGCGTTTCTCTGCTTTCAGGCTTCAGCATCTTTGTTGCTCACGAGTTCTTCGACGCTCTGCCGGTCCACAAGTTCCAGGTGAGACGGAAACCTGCAGCCGCACCTGCCCTGCTCTAAACGCTCACCTGTCCTCACTGTCCACTGTCCCCACCCCCAGCGGACGGAGAAAGGCTGGCGGGAGGTTCTGGTGGATTTGGACCCGTCCGACCCGGGCCGGCTCCGGTTGGTTCTGTCTCCGGGTCCGACGCTCGCTTCGTCCTCGCTGGTCCAGGTGAGGAGCCGAGCGGCGGGTCGCCAAACGCTTCAGGGGCGGGGCTTACTCAGGTGTGTGTGCGCAGGCCGGCGAGGGGCGGAGCCACGTGGAGGTGTGTCCGGAGGGCGGAGCCATCGTCCAGCTGCTGGCCCGGCGGATCCAGCAGCAGGGCGGGGCGGCGCTGATCGCCGACTACGGCCACGACGGAACCAAGACCGACACGTTCCGGGTACGCCGCGGGCCGCTGGGTCCGGTCTGAGTCCGGTCCGGTTCTAACCTGCAACCCGTTTCAGGGCTTCAAGGGTCACCGGCTGCACGACGTCCTGTCGGACCCTGGCGGCGCCGACCTGACGGCCGACGTGGACTTCAGCTTCCTGCGGCGCATGGCGGGAGGGGGCGTGGCCTGTCTGGGCCCCGTGAGCCAGAGGGCGTTCCTGAAGAACATGGGCGGCGACGCCCGCATGCAGGTGGGTTCTGGTTGTGACCCGCAGCATGCAGGTGGGTTCTGGTTGACTCCAGGTTCTGCTTGGTTCTGTCCAGGTTCTGCTGAGGAACTGCAGCGACCCATCCAGCAGGAAGCAGCTGATCCGGAGCTACGACCTGCTGACAAGCCCCGCCCACATGGGCGAGCGCTTCCTGTTCCTGTGTCTGCTGGCGCCAGGCCGCCTCGCCGCCCCGCCCACCGGGCTGAAGCTGGACAGGAAGAGCCCCGCGCCACTTCCTGTGGCCGGCTTCTCCGAGCTCCGCTTCTCCTGACCCGGATCAGAACCAGGTTTAGAACAGAAGTCAAGCAAACACTGCAACAGACTGAAACCAGTGTTCCCAGTTCAGTTTTAATGGTTTTGTGCTACAAAAGTAGAAAAGTTCTCAGGTCTTCGTCAGTCAGTGAGGAAGAGGAAGCAGAAATCAGCTTCGCTCTCCGACCTCGGTTCAGATTACACATCAAACTGGATTTTTATTTTCAGATCTGAAGTTAACTGATGTTTTTTTTTTCCTGCTGCTGAAACAGGAAGTGAATTCCTGGGATTAGGAAAGCGTTGCTGGATTAATCCAGGAAGTTAATCAGCAGAGTGGAGCCTGTGATTATAGATTATTAGATGAAGCTGTGAATGGCATTAGTGGTTCTGAGAATAAAACTGAAAATAAATTAAATTCTGTTGTTTTTCCTACTGCAACCTGACGGGGCACTGCTGAGTCCTTTATGTCAGCCTGTTGAATAGGAGAAGAAGCCCTGATGCCCATCGCTGGACCTGGTTGGGTAAACACAACCAGTGTTCGGGTTGCCTCTGCAGCTTTGAGACAGCAGGTCGTCATGGTAACCGCTTCCTCTAAGGGTCCTCGTCCATGTCGTCCAGGTTGGGAGACATGATGAAGTGGGTGGGGTAATGCAGCCCGCGCTCATCGGCGTACTCCTCCCAGCGCGCGTCGTCGCTCTCATGGGTGATGTAGCGCTCGCCGCGCCGCGTCTCGAACTCCCGCAGGTCCAACCACGTCTGGTAGTCCTGCAGGGACAAGAATGGGACATATTTAGCATTAGCCACACACTCTGTTGGTGTAGCGCTTTAGCATTAGCCACACACTCTGTTGGTGTAGCGCTTTAGCATTAGCCACACACTCTGTTGGTGTAGCGCTGAGCCAGATCCGATCAGGACTGA